CTACCATCTAAGGTTGAACCCATGGGCCCCTAAGGTTTTAGGGTTTAGGGTTAAGGGTTTAGGGTTTAGGGTTTAGGGTTTAGGGTTTAGGGTTTAGGGTTAAGGGTTTAGGGTTTAGGGTTTAGGGGATTCTAGGGTCCCTTAAGGGTATATATAGGGTATATAGTAGGTATATTAGGGTCCCAGGGTTAAGGGCCCATACTAGGGGCCCATGGGTTCTACCTTAGATACCACTGAGACACAGGGTATGAGATCCCATGGAATTCGCTCCTGGGCCAGGCCAAAACGAATTCCGACTTGTGTGCAGGGTGTACTGCTATGACTTTGCGTTGAGGACTGAAGCCAAAAAATGCCAAAGAGAAATCAACAATCCGAACTCAATGCCCTGACTGTAGAAGGAGAGGCGTTGTGAGCTGTAGTGCGTTCTCACCGGGTAGATGGTTTACTCCGCACGACAGTAGAGGTCGGCAGCTTGGCCCTCAGCTCAGGCTCGTGTTCGTTGCTGCAATCAGAACCATGTGGGAGTTTCCGAAAATTGGGGGTACCTTATTTTGGGGTCCTTATAATAGGGATCCTACTATTTAGGGTACTATATTAGGGTCCCCTATTTTCGGAAGCTCCCATGTTCGAGGAACGGGGCTCTGCTCACGGTGAGAGGAAGAGGCAACCCTAAACCCCAAACTGCCCAAATCCTGATCCAAAGAGGGGAAAACTCAGCCAGGTGCCAGGCAGCTCCCGCACAGCGTCGGCAGACATCCTCCATGGACTTCGGCAGCTGGCAGCCATACGAGGTGTTTTTTTAAAGAATCGTGCTGGAGGGTTTGGGGTTTATTGAGAGACCTCGTTCGAAAAAGAGTTATACGAATAGCATGAGAGTATACCGTTACGGAAACAACAACGGTCGTTTTCGTCTGCGTCTTCGTTGGATCGTCGTCGTGGTCGTCGCCGTAGTCGCCGCAGTCAGTCGTGGTCGTCGTAGCAATAGCAGCAGTCGCAGCAGCAGCACTACTGGTGCTAGCAGCAGCAGGAGGAAGAGGAACAGAAACGGTACAAGTGGCAGGAGGAGCAATGAGCGATTGTAGGCTCAAGAGTAGGGCCCGCCAGAAACAGGAGCTCGAAATCGCTTTCGAGCACGAAGTCCGAAACCCTTCCTCTCAAGCCGTGTGCTTTTCGGGCTTCTCACGGGACGACGGAAGGAAGCCAAGGCTTCAAAGCCCAATCGTCGCATCACGAAGGAAAACTTCTCCGAAGAAGGTTGCAAAAGTCAAGGAGCAGGACAAGAGAAAAACGGAAGGCGGCAGCAATGCCAAGAGTACTTAACAGTACTTCGTGACAAGCCAGCGCAAAGAATTCCTGTCACACGCCGGCATCGAGACACGCCTCTGAACTTCGAGAGAAGCGCCAAGGCCGTGGCCTGGCAGGGACTCAGCAGGATTCGCGCAGCACTGGACCGGTCCAGGCCATGAAGGGAGCCAAGCTGAAAGGGAACAATGAGCTGACATGCCTTCTGAAGGCAGCTGTAGAGGCTTTGGCGCAGACACCGTTTGCTGACAGCTGCTCAGCCGGGAGCAGGGCGGTTGAGGACGTGGCATCCTTGGAAGCCTTGGATTCCAGGCTGGCCGGGCTGCTGTGCCGCTGCCGGCCTGCGCAATGGTGCCAGTGGTGTGATGCTGGCTGAGAGCTGTGGCATCGGGGAATTGGTCCTCCGCTCCGGAAAGCGCCAAGGGAAGCGCAGAAGTCTGTGGCCTCTTGCAGGCCTCGCCTGGGCGTAAACCGGCAGTGAAAGTGAGGGCACCACCCCTCGGAATGCGCGGGAAGCTGGGCCCATCGAGAGATGGAGCGCCGGAGACACTTCCGTGAAGAGGTCCACAAAACAGCGGCGCATCCCAAGACCGAAGCATGAGATTTACGCTCGTCGGCGCGACAGTGACGAGAGGTTGACCACACCAGGCGCCCCTGCGCCCCAGGGGGCATCAACTTCGGAGGCTATGGTTCTCATGGACGAAGAGTCTTCCTCCCGTTCCCGTTCTTCCTCTCACTCAGACGCAGATAACGCGAGCCTGTCGGAAGACCCGGGCGACCTCTTTTCAAAGCCATAACGTGCCGGGCAAGCTGGAGCCGTCCTAGGCTTTGGAGATGGAGTCTAAGAGGTGTCTCATCGCTGAGCTCCCTGGAATGGAGTCACAACCTGCGACCAGTATCCCAGTGAGAGTCGAAACACCGAGATTTGAGAACCCGAAGCCCTTTCTTCACTTTTGGAGTAGGGGCGTATGTTAGTTATGTTTGTTTCTGAGCGTCAGCCACACCCGAACCTGAAGTTCACCTTGTAGTACGAACGCGAACCGAGATACCTCGCCTGGCTGAGCCCGAGTTGCGATCTCTGGCAGGCATGGCACAGGGCGACTCGGGCCAGGAGCCCCCACCAAGTGGGACAGCGCCTGAGGTGGCTCAGGGCTTTTGTGGAAACGGCTTGGGATCGATGGCAGTCAGAAAAATTCAGCACCACAAGGGGTTTTTGGTGCCCAGCATCCGGAAGGTTCCAAAAGTTGCAGAGGAGTCGAACTGCGCTGGCTTGCCGCTGGAGCTGTTCGACTCTGACCGAAGCATCGCTGAGGACATCTTGAAAGTATTTCAGGATAAGATTCTTGCCTGTGTTTGGAGCTCTCGCCAGCCCACGGACGAGCCCTGATGAAGAGCCCGCGGAAGCATGCTTCTAGTAACGATCGGATGTTGTCATGGGCAGCTTCAAAGCAGCTGAGGAGTGTGGCGGGGTCTGGGCATTCTCTGACAACTGGACAGGTGTTGGAGAAGTTAGCCGTCAACATCGCCTCGCACCACAACGATCTCTTCAAGTCCTTGCTGAAGCAGATGTGTGTCCTCACCAAGTCCCAGACAAAGACGTTTGCCTGTCGAGTGGAGGGTTCCAAGCAGAGTCGTAGGCACCTTGGGCCTAGGGCATCTGTGTGCCTTGGTCAGCCATGGCCAAACTTCGGAGGGCTGAGCAGCCGAGGAACAGTCCCGGATACTGGACCTTGCGCAAAGATTTCTGGCCGCGAAGATGAGGTAGCCCAAGCCGTGCAGTTGCTTTCTCCTCGATCCGCCGGCCAACAGAAAAAGCGTGCCACTAACCAGCCCTCTCTGATGGGTGCATCGCCGGGACCTTCTGCTGGCGCAGCGCCACAAGCAGAATCTCCCCCGTGTTTTGCGTCGCGGGTGACAGGTGACTGAGTCCATGTGTGAGAGAGAGAGAGAGAGAGACATGATTCAATGCGCAGCATTGCCAGTTCTGCTTCCGGTGCTGTATTGCGCAGTCGTGGTTGCATCTGCAATTCTCCAGGCTCTCGTAGATGCGGTTGTCAGATGCAGTAGAGCCTTTGCAGCATGTGCGATGGATGATGATTTAGAAGATGATTTTGAACCTCTGGGATCGGAAGAACCGGACCCCCTGGATGCGGACAACTTTGATGCAGTTGATTACATCAACAAGCAGTTTCCCAACCAGGAGTCTTTAGAAGGTCTCAGCAGCTTCATCGGGCAGCTGAGGCAGCAGGAGAAGCAAATCGAAGATGGCATCCGAGGTGCGATCAGAAGGCAGGCAGCCAATGGCCGCCGAGCGCAGGCTGACCTCAGCGATGCGAAACTCGCAGTTCGGGAGCTCTTTGAGCGGATCAAAGCCATACGCTCAAAAGCCGAACAGTCCGAGGAGCTCGTCAGCGACGTCTGCCGGGACATCAAGTCTTTGGACATCGCGAAGCGCAATTTGACCTTGACCGTGACGGCGCTGAAACGCTTGGTTATGCTGATCACGGCCCTGGAGCAGTTGCGCTCCACGGCAGAGTGTCGACATTATGAGCAAGCAGCGAGCCTGATCCATGCGGTCGAGGAGCTTTCGAGGCACTTTCAGGAGTTGTCGCACGTTGCAAGAGTCGCCGACCTCTTAGAGCGAAAGGCAGCTGTCCTCGGTGACCTGAAGCAGCAGATCCTGGACGATTACATGTGCCTCCATGGCGGTATTGGTAGCGCCACCAGGCAAGAGAGTTTGCCTGAGGGCTGGGGGGTTGCAGCCGCCAAGTGTGTAGATGCGCTTGGCCCTGGCATGAAGAGGGAAGTGGTGACACAGTTCTGTTTGCGACTCTTAGAAGGTTACAAGGACATATTCCAGCCACCCAAAGAAGCCTCAGGCCTAGAAACGGCAGAGCGCCGTTTCGCGTGGCTAAAGCGAACGTTGAGAGAGTTTGACGACAAGTACAAGTCGCAATTCCCAGAGTCTTGGCGAGTACCCTGTGGCTTGTGCGACCTCTTCTGCCACGTGACCCGGCAGCATCTCGTGGAGATCTTGGACACGTCGCACCACACGGTCGACCCCGAGCTCATGATCCGGGTGCTGCTGAAGTCCATCGACTTCGAGAACGAGTTGGCACGGAAGTGGTCCGTGGAGTCGGACCAGGACCAGGGCGACGGCTACCCTGGGCCGTCGACAAGTCAGCTGCTCCTGAAATACCCGGACGTCCTGTCCAGCAAAGCCGGAGGCTCTGGCAAGGCCGAGGCGTTGGCCCCGAAGGTCGCGAAGGAGGAGTTCGCGCCTCGCTTCCGAGGCATCATCAGCGAGTGCTTCGATGCCTATTTGAGCACTTGGGTCAAGCACGAGGAGAAGCAGCTGATGGAAGTGCTGCAGAATTTAACCTCTGCTGACAAAATGGTAGGCCACGACGAGGACAACGACGAGGATGAGGACGAATCCCTGGAGCCGAGATATCTCTACAAGTCGGCTCCGGAGCTTTTCGCCGCCATGAAGGGTAGCATGAACAGATGTGCAGGGTTCTCTACTCACAACACCCTCTTTGACATCTTCCAGGTCTTCAGGAAGATCATAACCCAATATGCCGGAAAGCTTGCAGGCTTACTTCCTGGCAACGGCAAAAAGACTCTACTGGATGTGGCTGGGGTCCAGGCCGTTTGCTGTGTCATCGGCACGGCCGAGTGCCTTGACTCTGTTTTGCGAGCTAGCCTTGTAGCTCCACTTGGCTGCCGAAGCTTTGGGGGGCTTCTACCCTAAACAAACAAACCCTAAACCCTAAACCTTAAACCCAAAACCCTAAACCCTAAACCCGAAACTCTAAACCCTAAACCCCTAAACCCCTACTCGCTCGCGAGCGTGAGCCTTGATCTCTGCAATGTGAGAGGGAAAACTCCATAGCGAGACGGAAAACGGGTCGTTAAAAACCCCCCAAATAAACCCTTAATCTAATGATGAGGTATTGCGACGAGACGCTGCCCCAGCTGGAGGACTCCTTGCTGAAGGTCATCAGTTCGGACTTCCAGGAGCGCATTGGCCCGAACCTCGGTGATGCTAGACTATGCTATGCTATACTGTACTATACAATACTATATTGTGTTACGCTGTACTTGTCGGAACTATGCTGTGCCACGCTATTATGCTGTTCTGCATATGCTGCGCCATGCTATGTTCACTACATTACACTTCACTACACTATGCCGCGCCACGCTACGCTACACGATTATGCTGTCCTATACTAGAACTCTAAGTACCCTGTGTTTTGTATTTAGCACACTCTAAACTCTGTATCATGCTCTATCCATCTCTATCCCCTATCCTTTATCCTCTCTACTCTATACCCTCTTTACTCTATACTCTATACTCTCAAATTGAAATCCAATAAAGTTCTATACCATGTGCGATACACTGCACACTGTTCGCTACATGCCATATAAAACTATAAACTATATGGTATGTACTACAGCATACTCTACTCTAATACGTGCTCTGCTGTTCACTCCAGGTGCAAAGCGGCCCTGTGTCTGCACATGTTTTTGGTTCTGGGCGTCGGGTCAGCTATACTATTGTGCCGGTTCCTTATTATACTTATAGTATAATGGGCCCCCAAAACCCTATTCTCATTATTAAGGCTTCTATATTCCACAGGTTTCCACGAGGAGCAGGAGATCCTGCGGAACCTCGTGAACCGTGCGAACGATGGACTTGTGCAGTCTGTCAGCTGCAGCTTGGACGAGGCCTTCGGCAGCATGACCGGCACAAACTGGGCGGCCTTTTCACAGGACCTGTCAAGTTCTCGGTTTCGGATCCAGTGTCCTCTAGCCTGCGATTCCATGAGGGTTTCTTGCCGTGCAGAATCGCAGGACGTGGGTGACCACAGCGCTTTTGTGGGTGACATCAGCGAAAGGCTGCCGAAACAGTTCGAGCCTATAGCTCGACACCTTTCCAAAATTCATTACCGCTTCTTCTGCGACAAGTTCGTCCAGTCCTTTGTGGCGCGGTTCGTAACAGAGGTCCACAAGTGCCGGAAGATCAGCGAGAAAGGTGCCCAACAACTGCTCTTGGACACCGCGCTGATCAAAACGACGCTTCTGGAGGCACCCGTGATCGCGGGGCAGGGCCGGCAGATGCCCACGGCATACAGCAACTATGTTCTGCGCCCTGGCCGCAGCTCTGTTCTGACAGCCAAGCTTAGTCTGCAGGTTCTGATTATTCCAGGTCGTGCGTGGATAGCTCCCGGATCTCATCTGTCGACATCGAATGGCATGAGTCAGTTCCCCACCCTGTGCTTTGAATATCCACAGCCTAAGCGACCACGACGACCACAACCACCACGCCCAGCAGACACCAGGAGGTCACTGGGAGATGCCAGAGGCCACCACAGACCATGAGGAGACCACCACAAGAACCACCAGGAAACAACCACCAGGAAACCACGAACCAGACCACCGCGCGACGCCAGGGGAATTCAAGAGACCCCCCAACGAAGACCGGGATACCAGGACACGGCATGCTGCTTCCTATGCACTGGCGGGATTCAGAACCGGTTCCAAACTGCTTACTGCTTCCCCCAATGTGCTGGTGGAATCAGAGACACGATGAACCTGCTTTCAGCGTATGATTTGCGAGATTCAGGACCATGGCCATAACGCTTTCGCGCAATTGTCAGGGTTCGGAGATGTGGCCAAAGTGCTTCCCTGCATGTCCTGGCTGGGTTCAGGCATTTGCAGGACAAAGCGCTTTCTGGAGGATACGGCCTCACGGATCGCTTGTAAATAATGGGACACGAGTGCAAACTATGCGCCGCGCCACAGCAGAATATTACGGAGTGCGTGTCGGGGCGCCTCGCACGAACACTAACTATTTCTCTTTTAGAACCCCACGTAATGTTTATCAAACTGTTTGGAGAAACACAGAGCTTGAGAAAAGGCACTTTGCCGGTCCGACTGGATAGTCGAACTCCGGAAGGTGCTAGTGTCTCGCAGTTAAGGTCGGGGTTTCAGGGTTTAGGGCGCGGTGTTTGGGGTTTGCATCCTATTCGTCGAGGCATGCAGAGAAAGCTTTGACTTCATCGAGGTTTGCACCACAAGTCCCAGATCTTAATAGAACCGTCGAGAAACACGAACTCGCATTAGAGGTACCTTAAGCCCCGAAAATCTGCACCTGACCCCTATGCTCACCACGCTGCGTGGTCCTGCTTCGGGCACCACGCTAGGCAGAGTGCTGGCTCTTTAAGGGCATGGTTGTGGGTGGCCGATGTGTTGCTCTTCAGAGCCGAAGCCGGATCCCTAAACCTACCAGGCTTGTCCGAGTGTGAGTGTCAAAAAATCTACCACCCCGAACCTCATCTCAGCCCTGCGAGCCGCCTCGGCTGGAGAGTCCCAGTTCCGAGAGTCCAGGCGAATCCCCCAAACCCAGAGTCGGCAGCTCAGGCGCGAGATGGGGAAGGCGGAGATCATTCTCAAAGTCCTCTCGTCGCCGGATGCCGCTAGGCTTAGAGGTGAGGCAACGCCCATCGCTTGGACAAGCTACATGCAGTGCATGGGAGTTTCACAAAACAAGGGAATCCGGTACAGATCCCACGAACTCCTAATTTGTGAGGTATCGCTTTCTCAGCTTAGGGCCTTTTCCATTCCAGGGGCCACCTGGTCCCCAGTCCAGGGCTAGGATTTAGGGGCTTTGTTGCGGCTTTAGGCTTTAGACTGGCCGGGCTGAAGAACAAACATCTCTGCCCCAAAAAGGAGTCGAAGACTTGCGAGCTCCGGA